TAAAAAAAAATCCTATGGTGAACTTTTGAGGCGGCCAAATCCAGTTGCTACTTAATTAACATTACAGGCCCACAGTGAATTGAGATGTGAAGATTGATCCCTGTTCTTTCAGTGGAGCTCAGCCCTGATAGGAATTTTTCTCCTTTCTATCCTATAATTGCTTGTCAGCTCATCTAACTCCAAATAATTTCTTGCTGTACTTCTGCTGGTAAGAAACCAAGAAGAGCTCAGGAATTCATTCTTTCTTGGCTCTGAGTTAAAGGAGTTCATTCTGCATTCTGGATAAAATATTTTAATTCATCAGGATTAATTCCTAATTTGATTTATAATCTGACCTGTTTTTATTTTCTTTTTGCCTTTAATAAAACAGAACAAAGGAAAAAATTAGAAATAGCGAAAGAAAAGAAACGACAAAAAAGCAATGCTTTGTATTAATCTGACCTTTATTAAGGCTAGATTTCTATTCAGATTTTTTGCCATTTTAAATTTGACCTTTATAAAAAGCTAATCTCCTATTTTGGTTTCTTTGCCCTATTTCATATTTTTGCTAGTGACACTTAACATATCTTAACGTTTCTTCCTTTCCATGTTCCTTCTTAATCCATTAAAATATAAATAGAGGGTCATAGAAATATCTTAAAAGACATTACTCCTTTTTCTTATGATATAGTGAAAGAATATTTGAAGTCTCTTCTAAATTCTCAGTTACTTTTTAAGGTAACTACTTTTCTTAAATTGATCTGGTCTTTGTGCCAAGTAACTCTTAATCTGGTTATAAAACCCTTGATATCTCTTTCCATTACTGTTTCCCCAAATACATAAACTAACCAGTTTGAGTTGTAAGATTAGTATTTCTATTTTGGGTTGGACACATGCTTTATGTTACTAGATTTGTTGAAACAAACTCCAGTTTTGTTTTTTGAATTGTGCTGTTGTGCTGTTATTTGTTCACAGCTTTCCCATCAAACAAGCAACAATGAATGAAGAATGTGCTGCTATCAGAGCAGGAAATGTGAGTCCAGTATCGTGCTATCAAACATTCAACTGGATTTGTGAGAAGACATATAGTTAATTGATTGAACTGAAAGAGTCCAATGCGAGGCTGGATAGGAGTGAAGACTGAATAACCAGCAGACCTTGTTCATTAATAAAATTGGTCCTTTCATGATCTCATCCTTCATTTACTATATGCTATTGTATTTGCTGCTGTATCAAGACCATCACAGCATTTTATGCTGTAAGGGAAGATATGAATAGTTTCCTAGATAGAAGGATTTTAAATTCTTTTTTTCCCACATGGAAATCCTTTGTGCAATTCTTGATTCTGAGAATTACGAAGAGATGAGATACTAATCAGTAGAAATCTAGTAGGTAATCTGAAAAGAGATACAAAGCTCAGATATGCCTGTGTCCTCCTCCTTCCTTTCCTTATAGCAGAATGAGATCTTGGGGGGGCCAAACAGGCTCATGTTAACAATTGTGCCTAATTATCTCCTTCTGTGGCTGTTTCAAGATCCAAAAAAGAGCTAATTCTTCTCCCTGTTCCTGAAAATACTGCAGGGCTATGGTGACTATGGACTATCACAGGGTCCACATGTCACACTAAACTGTGATTTGTTTCACTATGGTCTCCTGAGCCAAAAGCCATGGTTTCCAAAATGATACATGTGAATCCAACCAACATCTTGGAGCCCACTCCTTTGGGGCTGTACTTGGGGAGGGGGGAAAGAGGGATGGGGTTATGATGTCATAATAACTGATTGAAAGTTCTCTAAGCAGGCCACCAGACTGATGTTAGCAGTTTATAAATACACATCAGAGTATACGTCTGGTGGCCTGATTAGAGAGCTTTCAATCAGTTATTATGACATCATAATCCCATCCTTCTTTCCCCTTTGTGCATGTTGAATAACAACATTTTGAAGTATAGCTTTTTCCTACATTAGTGAATATAGGTGGGTTAGCTGCCTTTTCAGGCTGTCGGCACTATCACATGATGTGTCTAACAAAGAAAGTTTAAAACATGTGCAAGGTTTCTTGAAGTCCTGTGAAGTTTCAAATTATTTTTATCTATATATTCTCTTCTGCTCAGCAAATGCTGGTAATTTAGGGCCAGTTCAGCTACAGCTGTAAGATATATGTGGCTCTGTTTTTTGTAAATTAAATGTTGCAAGGTCAAATAATTCTAATTTTTCCAGGTGTTTTGACAATTCTATTGTTACAGCTCCTAATGCTCCTATTAATTGTCAGATTCAGCCAGTTTCAGCACCCCTAGTCAATTTCACCACAGGCAGCAGAAAAGAGGAAGTGGGGCAAACCGCAAGTCAATTACCGGCAGGTGGGGCAATTGACTCAGGGCAGGAGCGGATATTTTGTAACAAAGCCGGCTTCCCTCAAACACCCCAGGCAATGCAAATCACAGCAACTCGGAAGCACCGCAATTCAGTAGCAGTCCGCAAGCAATCAAGGAGCCCCGGCTTGGCCCGCAGAAGAAAAGCCCAACGAATGCAACGATCACACACACAAAGGGCAGCAATCAGGGGGACAAAGAAACTCGGCTGAATCTGCCATTAAGACGAGGGGAAGAACACCGCTGATGAACGGGGCAAAGGGCGGGAACAAGGGGTAACTCCTGGTCAAGGGGGAATACCCTATAAAACCCCTGTATGTAACCGCACCAAGCCAATCCTGGCTTTGTCTGTAACCACTATGCATTACACCTGAGTAAACTGTGTCTCACCGAGTCTTTTATTCAGCGCTGAATGCAGCGATGCTTACATTAATTATGGGGAAAACTTTTGCCAATTTATTCCATAATCTCTGCATTTTGGATGCCAAGTCCTGATATTTTACAGTCTTTCCTTTTTGAGCTAAGCTGCTGTCATTTGATATTGACACCTTTCTGAGCAAAACTTGCTTTTCTTCAACTGCTGTGACATCTGGCATATTGTGATCTAGATGTCAGTCCATCTGGATTCAGAAGGCTCATAACATTTTTACATGGTTGTCCTGGAGCACCTCTTTGACATTATAGTTGTACCAATGTTGTGGGTGCCAGATCCATGCTTTTTACATGAATTCCAAAGTACCATTTTGCCATGCAATCGTGTATCTTATAATCTGTCTACGCAATTTTGGTTCAGCCAGTTATTAGGTGTTTAACAGTCTCAGTTTTCTCTTTGCATAATCTACACTTCCTGTGGTTTCCGGTGTTTTGAATTCCATTTTGTATGGCATTTGTGGCTAATGTTTGCTCCTGTGCTGCAAATATTAATCCTTCTGTTTCCTTCTCGATGGAATCTATCTGAAGCCAAGTTTTGCTACTGTTTTTGCCCTGCCTTCCTTTTCTTTCAGCAACTGATCCTGCAGAGGTTTGTCTTTTTCATTCGCTATTCTGGCTGTTCATTTTTATATGCTGCTGTTGATTCTGCTACATTCAAAATGCTTCCCTTTCAAACATTTATTAATATTTTCACTTTGCTTGCATTAATGTAACACCGACTTTCTCTGGTATTCAGATGCTCTGTGCTGCTTTTTTTGGGTGTAGTGCATGATGTATTATCATATGTTTTCAGTCTTGTGAGTTAAAGCATCTAGTTCAGCTTGTGTACAGTCAACAATACCTGCTGGGTGGCATGTTACAGGGAGAGTCCAAGTATTAATGACTTTGACTGTGGAGTCCTTGGTGCTCTCTCAGCTTGGTTGTTTGCTTGCAGACATTCCCTTACAACCAGCTAGGTGACATCATCAGTGCAAGTGAGAGAACCTTTCAATCTTTATTACAACAAGTATAGACAAACTTAGTAAATCTTCACCCTCTATAAGGTTACAAACAGGCATCTCTTCATTTCATATCTCATCCCTCATCTGTCAGCAAATCCATAAAACATCAACTTTTCAATCCCGGTGTCAGCAAAAGGTCCATGAAGGGTTGCCAGAACTTGACAAATAAATGTCTTATTTTAACCTTGATGAAATAAACCAACTTTATATCCCTTCCTTTTACTTCTAACAGTCTTAATCTTTAGTTCATTCAAATGTTGTCACAGGAGTTGATTTCTCTTCAATTCTTCTTTATCCCAGCACACAAACTTCTTCAAGGGTTTAACAAGCCTTTTTTGTAGATCCACTAAGAAAACATTTTCCAGGTCATTCTCTTGGTTTGTCATTTGTATTTTCCCTTTAATTTTTAAAACTTCAGCCAGTTTCTTTTGTATATCCAGTAAAGGGTCCTCTTCAAAATCATTCTCTTGGCCTGTCATTTGTAGTTCCACTGTTGGTACCTTCTCTGTCTTGTCAGACAAAATATGCTCCACATCTGTCATTCCCTCACTGACACCTTTTGGACATAATCAGTCCATAGAATCAGACATCATTACTGACACTGTTGAAATTGTAGCTACAAATTCCTGGCTCCATTTTTCAAAGATCCCCTTTAATATTTCCAATGTTATGAAGTTTTTTGTCATTTTGTAAGCCCCAGTTAACCAACACCAAAAGCTGGCTTGTATTCTTTTCCTTCTACTTAGAATCTTTATTCCAATCTAGTGCCCAGTTTCTAAAATCATAAAGTCGCTTATCTTTGTTATGAGCCAAAATAGCCAAAATAACCCTGGTTCCCATGAAAAGCTAGTTATTTTTTATAGTTAATTCCAAAACCTTATAGTAAAAGTCAACATTCCAAATTTAACTGGACCCTTAATTTGTTTATAATCTGTTTTGATCTGTTTTTGATCCTAGATCAAAATCTTATTTAGCTTTTTGCTTTTTATTTCAATCGCCTCACATGGTTGTTTTTGTGGGGAAAATAGGAGAAAGGAGTACTAGGTTTGTTCGCCACCTTGGATTATTTATAAAAAATAATAAAGGTGGGATTAAAAAATCTAAAAAAAAATTCTTTAGATTCTTAAGGTTGTAATTAATTTTTCTTTTGTTCAGAACTGAAGATAAACTCACCCGATGAGGACTTTTCAAACTTGTCATTCCAAAGGTCTCTAATTTAAAATGGTTAATAGGAAATTCCATATTCCCAAAAGTGGTTAGAAAGTGAGACTTGCAAACTTAGTGTCCTTTAAAAGCTTTAAACGTGTTTGTGGGATCACAAGAAGAGGCTGTGTGCTGAATGAAAGAGGGCAGAATGAACAGGGACTGAATACAAAAGTGAGTGGTCGCCGACTACGTTGAAGTCATTTAATCATGTCGAGGGAATGGAGGAGAGAACTGCAAACCAAAGAGATGAAGAGGGAATGGACTGAGAGGAAGGGGGAAAGAGAAAAGTCAAGGTGGGATGGAATTGATGCGGTCACTAGAGACAAGTGAGAAGCCTGAAGAATAAAAAGGTAACGTTGCATATCTCCAAAGGGAAGAGACTGACAGCTACGATAAAGGAGATGATCCCGGTCTCTTGCGGAAACACAGTCTGCAGTCTGGGATTTGGTCAGGAGTGCACGGAGCCACGTATTT